CTGGGGCCCCTCGGCCTCCTGGTAGCCAAGCTGGCGGAAGCGTTGGCGCTCCAGATCAGTGCCCGAAGCTGCTTTTTCCATCTGCTGGAGACTTTGGGGTGGATTTCTCCCTTCTGAATGGGCAGACTCCATTTCTTTCAAGAAGGTCCGTAGCTGGGTTTCCCATGGCTGTGGCAGCCCCTTTTGTAATGCTCTTTTTGGGTGGGTTGAAAGGTTATTTTCCCAGATTTCCTGAAGACGGCTAATGTTTTCTGCGTCTTTCTCTGCTTCAACCCATTCTGGATCCTCCTGTTTCACCCTCTTCTTCAGCCCAGCCTCCGGCAGAAGACCCAGCATTGGCATATCCCATCGTCTGCGGGCCATTTCCCTTTGCAAGCTAAGTGTGGGTGAAGCCAGGAAAAAAAATAAAACAACACAACTTTCTCCACCTCACTGTAAATGCTAAAAATGTTTCCAGACAAACTGGGAGTTCATGGACCTGTGAGACCGATGGGCCTTCCTGAATGGAAACCGCAAGAGTACCTACCAGAAAGAAATTAGGCAATTCATAAATGCTGGAGGGGATATTTTTGCTAATGCAAACAACACCTTGAAACGTAAAGGATAGACACTTTTCTTCTAGGATTTCGATATTTCCATAGAGTGGCAAATATGCTGGAAAATTGCTGTAATGGAAAAATTGTTCAAAAAAGGTGGGATATCACAGTAACACAGAAGACATTGTAGGAAGAGAGCAGTGTTTGTCTACAGCATGGCTGGCTGGGGAATTCTGGGAGTTGAACTCCACTCATCTTAAAGTTGCTAAGGCTGAGAAACACTGGTCTATAGTGGCAAAAAAATCAGATGGAATCTGGTAGCACCTTTTCCGACTAACAGATTTTATAAAAAGGCAGAAGCTTTTGTTAGTCGGAAAAAGTGCTATCAGACTCTGCCTGAAAACCCTAAAGAGGATTTTTCCTACATCTGGCTTAAATGTACTAATGATGTACACCAAAAGCATAATGATGGTTTACTCCCCACTTCCAGGTGCCCCGATAAGCTAATTAAACAAGGTTATATGCATTTTGCTTCTGTATATGCTCCACTGTATTGTAAACTGTTAAGAAACTTAAATAAAAGGGGGAAACAGAGATGATCAAACACCCTCAAAGCCTCTTCACAGTCTTGGGCTGTGAACAAAACGATTAAAAGCTTCACTCTAGATTGATGGGAATAATAATAATAATTATTATTATTATTTTAAAAAATTATAACATTCAAACACAACTTCCAGACATCTACTGCCTTGATTACTCTAGACTGATGGGTATTATTATTATTATTATTATTGATTATAACATTCAAACAAAACTTACAGACATCTACCGCCTTGATTCAGGTTTTGGCAGTGAAAAAAATCATCAAGAGCGTTGGTCTAGATTGGTGGGAATAATAATAATAATAATAATTATTATTATTCCCACCAATCTAGACCAATGCTCTAATAATAATAATTATTCTTATTCTTGATTATAACATTCAAACAAAACTTACAGACATCCACCGCCTTGATTCAAGTTTTGGCAGTGAAAAAAACCATTAAGAGCGTTGGTCTAGATTGGTGGGAATAATAATAATAATAATAATATTAATACCCACCAATCTAGACCAATGCTCTAATAATAATTATTATTGGTGGGAATAATAATAATAATAATTATTATTATTATTATTCCCACCAATCTAGACCAATGCTCTAATAATAATTAT